AAACCTCATTGATAGGAAACCTCATTGATAGGAACTATGGAATGAAATCAAAGCAGTTATTAAGGATGAATGAGAGACTGCCAAAGATCAAGAAACAGAAGAAAGCATACAGCATGTCAGAACAGACAATGGGAATAGCCAAGGAGAAAAAAGAAGCCAAAGCCAAGAAAGACAAAAATCTTAGAAAGAAAGAAGAATTTCAGAGTGCTGTTAGAAGAGGTAAGAAACAGTATTACAATGTCATTTGTAAAGACATTCACGATGGAAACAGACATGGAAAAACAAGGAAAGTCTTCCAAAAGAACTCCAAACTCAGGGAGAAGGTTCCAACTTGGAATTGGTACACTAAAAGATGCCAATGGACAGATAGCAATTGCTTTAAATTAGATCAAACAAAGATTAAGAGGTGTTTACTGAAATTCTCTACAGCAAAGATATTTATATGCAAGATATCTTAGAAGATATTTCTTTTTTTACCTCTAGCACTAAAAGATGATGTTAGATCAGTATCCCAGTCATAAACAAGGTGGAAGGCTAAATGAATTGATAGAATATCTATAAAAAATATGGCAAGCAATGGAAGAAAAATCAGTAAAGGTTCTAACTTATGCCACCAAATGTGAAGAATGACATAGTAGGCAACAGATTGGAAGAGGTCAATCTATATACAATATCAGAGAAAGGAAACTTTAACAGAGTGCAGACTATTGTACTATATTCCACAAAACTGAACTGTGTGAAAGTAGAATGAAAAGAGCATTGACACTTTTGAATTTTGATGTTGAAGAAGACACTTGAAAATACCACAGATAGCAAAGGAAACAAACAAACAAACCATAGAAAAACTCAATGTAGAATCCTCACTTGAGATACAAACAATCAGTCTCAAATTGTACCCTATGACTATCATTAAGTGTTGTACCGTATGATTCATGACGAATGTATCTTTTCTTTTATGTTCACTGAGAGCATATGCACCAAAGACAAATTCCTTGTGCGTCCAATCACACTTGGCCAATAAAGAATTCTATTCCATTCTATTATATATTGTGAATGTGCTATGCCAAGACTACCTCAAGTAGCCCATAATCCTGGGAAAAGAGGAAGGAAAGAAAAGTTGATGTCCAGCAGAAAGATGGATGGACTCAATTACAGTGGCAATAGGTACACCATTGGGAGTTCTGAAGATCCTATTTGAGGACAGATCATCTTGGAGAAGATCGTTGTCACTAAGAGTCAACACCAACTTGATGGCACATTATCAATCAATCAGTCAATCAGTTAATCAGCCAGTTGGTCGGTCGGTCAGTCAGTCAGTCAGTCAGTCAGTCAGTCAGTCAGTCAGTCAGTCAGTCAGTCAGTCAATCAGTTGTGTGGATAATTTATACATTGGGTGTGAACAAAGAACTCACCTATCATAATCCCTGAGAAGGCTAGAATAAGACCAGCAACCAAAGCTGAAGTCACTACTGACAAGACCAAAGAAAGAGGGGGATTCTTGGTGGGCAGGATCAATTCATCTGGAATATAAACATGATATTAGTTGTTTTCAACTTCTCTTCCTATTACTTTCCCATTCAAATAAACCCCCTGTATCTGTAGAAAACCATGGACCCATATATTTTTGAACTAGTAAAAAAAATGTCTTGGATGCACACATTTAAAAATGTAGTGCCACGTGGAGGCAGTATCTAAATATTTGCAAGAGAGCTAGAATTAGTACAATTGCACAAATGACCAATTAAACTTCCACAACGAGTTGCCCTAAATTTTTGTTTTGCCACTGTAATCAGAATCCACAATCAACAATGGAGTCCGATTGGGGGTAATCCAACATGATCAGAGAGCAAAAGAATTAATGTTCGTTATTCAATGTCTTACCTATGCAAGAGACACCATCATTAGCCAACACATATCCATAGCCACAAATGCAAACAATTTCCTGAGTCTTCAAATCTTCGTGGCACATATCATGATCACAATGACTGCAGTTCAAATATAGCTTAATGTTGACTTCACCATGCCCCTCTGACACTAGAGAGTAGATGAAAGAATTATTGATTTGTATAATACTTGTAGGTCAAAGATTCATAACACCCTAAATAAAAAAAACCAGTAAGTAGGATAATTGTGAAACTATCAGCAAAACTGATAGGGTCAAATAGCTTTAGTTATTGGAAGTGGCAGGGAGGGAATGGTAAGCAGGAATAGCTGCTCTGTATTTTCAGTAGCATGATATTGCTACTTGCACATATGATTTATGCCCAAATTATATACTTGCATGTTATTCTTTTTGTCTATGGATTTTACTACAAATGCACATATGCAGAAGAGGAGAAGCAAAATTACTCCCACTCCCCTTTCCACCTTTATTGGAAGATACTTGGTTTGAATTGCTCCAGATTCTACCCACCTCTGTTGGAGATCACTCCCCCAACATGGTATTGCCCAAGTCATCTTATAACTATAGATCCTAACCAGCATATTTGCTGGACATAATTCTTCAATATTAGGGGAATAGTAGTCAAAACATCTGCAGAGCATCAACTTAAAAAGATTATTCTCTAGGAATGTAGAACTTAATACTTTCCTAAGAGGTTTTTACAATGCCTAATTTAACATGGAATGTTTTTAAGATGTTTCAGAAGACATACTGCTGTTATTCTATCTGTACATGTGATAAAATAAATAACTGAAAATACCTTTTAATGCAGGAGTAAAGAGTGAACCATACTGGGTATTAATAAAGGATACACCATCCTCTCCATCCATTTCTGGGTCATTTTGTTCTGCTGCATTGCCACCTACAGAATTGGAAAACATCTTAAATAATTTTTGTATGGATTCCGCTAATGCACATCAAAGAGCAACAAAATCTCTTGCGGCACTTTAAGATTAAATAATACATTGTGGCATAATTTTGTGTGTGAGCTTTATATGGGTAATCTGATATAAATACATCTTCATGAATGTTGAAAAAATATAACTCACCATCTTTCAGGATAATGAGGCCAAAAGGGCAATTAGTATAAGAGATAAAATTATATTTTTGAATACAAATGAATATAGAATTAAATCCAATAGATATAATGGTCCATTGGCATAGTGATATAGATCACTAGATACCATAAGTTGCCACATATTAAAAATGATATTACTCAGAGAAAAACCACGGGATGTTTTGACAATTCACTTTGGGTATTCCAATTTCAATTAAAGTGATCATTTTAAGAAACCTATTGTGATCAGGAACTCTAAGTACATGAAGGTGTGTGAGTTTCCTCTCCAATAACAGAGAAATGAGGTCAAGGCCTCTATGGAACTTTATCTTTTGATTGTTCACTCTGAACAATCAAAGAAAGATCATTTTAGTCTACCATAGATTTATAAAATTCTTGTACTTAATACACATACATTTGGCCAACTGGAATACACGTATAAACTCAACTTTACAGACTTGGAGCCCTAGAAAATACTTCTTAATTTTCAAGAATTTGTTTATACTTCAAACATGCTTTGCTTATTCATCACCAGTGGGAATAGATCTGATTAAGTGGTCTGACCTTCTAAAGTTTATGCCACAATATATCTTTCAGGTGACAAAAACATTTTTTTCATGCAACATGGCTACCTTTTTGGTATTTGTCAAATGCAGGTAAATAAATTATACCAGTGATCAACACTACAAAACAAAAAACATCTAACAGAGAAAAAAAGCATACATCTGGCAAAATATCCAATAATGTCTATATGGTTGCAGTTTAATGGTTTTTTAAAGCTTCTAACATTCAGAATCTCAGTTTAACAAGCCTTTTGGGTTATTAATGAAGTAGATGAACATTATGGCAAAGTCCCAGCCAAAAATATGACAAATTAGAAAAAAAGGCATAACATAATCTTTGTACAGCCATTTGAGTGAAAGACTGAAAATATCATGATATGCAAAAGTTAAGCTATACATAGCAAGTAGTAATAATTAGATAAGTATTCTTTTATTAGCTTATTCAGTCTACAACAATCTCTCCAGTATGGAAACATATGGATAAATATGGTCATTCTGAAATGGCAGCCAATGTTAAACTGGGTTATGAAACTGTGCATTCATTTCTTATTGTTTATTTAACCCTATGGTATATGGTTACCTGCCTAAGCAGGGGGTTGGACTAGAAGACTTCAAAGATCCCTTCCAACTCTGTATTCTGTTCTGTTCTGTTCTGTTCTGTTCTACTCTACTCTAATTTTTGTTCAATCATTCAACCAATCCCAGTTGCTCTTTCAAGAGTAGAATACATAACTGAATCATTGATAAATTTAAATATTCATAGAGGAGACATCATTCTATTTTATCCAAGAGAAAGTATTACAGAGAATGTAGAGAGTGATGATAAATCTCTTGGGTTATAACATCTCTCCTGATTATTGGCAATTATAATCCAAAATATCTTTTGAGAGTGCTAGTTGTATTTATGTAATACGTATGCAGTTAAATTAAATGCTGTAAATATTTATTAGTTTCCTCTAAGATTCTCAAATATATTTTTGAAGAATGGATTACCATGATAGAGTTACTATGTATAATGTGCATTTAGTTTGGTGCAAAATGTCATCTGTACCATTTGCATCACTCAACAATGTACCAAGAATTCAATTTTCTGTAAGTTCTTCTGAACAGCATAGATTGCTATGTATTCGATATCGACCTAAACTGATCCTCACATTCTGGTGTACAAATAATCAACTTAAAACATTTATCTCATTATAATATAAACATGATAATCACCACATCTACTTCACTTGTAGTCAAAGGTGTTAGTAACATAAGGTATCATAATTTACCCAAAGTGAGAAGAAGTGGGATTCAGAATGCTCAAAGTGATTGAAGATAATTTTTTGCAACATTTTTGTTTTCCTTGAAAAGGCCATTTAAAGCTGGGCAGTGTCTAACAGCCAGTAAGTACTAAGACCTATTCTTGTAAGTCTTCTATTCTGGTGACATTGTTAAATGTCTTGGCGATCCATTTGCAAGGAACTTAAGAGGCCTGATTTATTGGCTTAATCTCTTGAACTTTGGGCTGTGGGATATTCATGGTAAAAAAAAACCTCTTAATGAACACAGTTCTTTGATACCACATCATCTATACCACCCAATGGTTTGTGTGATTTGTTCTTTTGTAATGTTAAAGAACAAAAAGCAAACATCACCATCTTTTAAACATTTGCAGCAGAATCTTGAAGGTTGATGGCATGTCTTCATGAGAATTTTCTTTTCACCATCAAACATTCTGCCACCTTGACTGTGCCACAGATTTGGACTTGCACTAATGCCAAGGGGTATTTTAGCAGTTTGACAGAGATACTAGTGTAATTTGCAGAGATTTAATGCCACAAAGTAATGCCAAATAAATGTCTTTCTCTCAATCCAAACCATGGGGATATTCACCAACCTTCAAAACACATGCATAAAAGTTGATTTTTCTCTGGGTTCTTTTCATTAAAATATATTTGGCAATATCCATCTAGTATTAAAAGGCTATATACACAGGGGTCAAGAATTCTGCATACAATTTTTCCAAGTCATTGTTTGTCAATAAAGATCCTAAAAATGTATAGTTGAAATCAATCAGGAATAATTTCTTGTAGATTTCCATTTTTGGCACAATGGTCATTGCACAATTTGAAATTGGAAATCAAAGAACATTAAGGATCACTTTCCAGCACACTTACGCATCTTAGTGTCAAGCTGTGAAAAGTGACATGCTTTTTTGCCTTTGGAAAAACAGAAGTTCCTCACAGCTGTCCTTCCTTCCCTATTAGCCAAGGTTAGCTACAGAATTTAAAATCTAGCAATGGATAAATTGCTATAATACAACCATGCAGATTCTTGGACACCCTGTATAAATACGCAGCACTATGAAAAATTTAATATACAGAAAGATGTCAGGGTAAATATAGATGTGTCAATTATAGGAAAAATATATATATTTCAAGATTTTGCTGAGTATTAGCACTAAGGGAGGGAAAGGGACACCTTGAACATGAAGCCACTTTACCTATATATCCTCCGCCTCCTCCACCTGAGGAGCACCCCCCTCCACCCCCTCCGAAACCCCCTCTTGTCTCCCACCCCCACTTCTTCATGGCCTGGGGGCAGGATTTTCCTCCGGTAGCGCCTTCCAGCAAGGATTTTCCTGACCAGAGGAAGGAAGTGTTATCATTCCAGCCGCCTCCACCACCTGCAGTTCAACAGAAGGAAAAATAACTTGCATAAGTATTTGTAATAGTGTCCTAGAAAGAAGGCACAGACCATCAGAATGAAATCAAGATTCCCTTTGTACAGGTTTCCTAAGAAAGGCTAAACATTTCCTTGGGCTTTGTAGTGTGGTGTGCACGGTTGTACACACACATTTGACAATTATCTCAAGGCAACAAAATCTAAACTCTTAAACCTAATTCTATCCATCTAGAGTACGGATTACACAGCAGTCCTAGGATATAAACATACCGGAAGAAGTCTATATGATGTTACTGAGCCAGTTAGATTCATGGCCCTGTCTATAAATATATCCATTCAAATAATTTATATCTCATTGGTATGTGAGAGATAAATACCCTTTAATCAGTGTATAAGTACATGTAAAATATTAAATCTGAATAAAACACATTTGCCTGTTTCAGGAATTGAATTTCTTGGATCAAGACTACTGTTCATTTTGCATGGTGTGTGTGTATGTGTGTATGTGTGTGTGTGTGTGTGTGTGTGTGTGTGTGTGTGTTCATTCATTCCTAAGTACTGCAATAATTAATATGAGGAAACTTACAACATTTCCTGTTTACAGCACACATGTATAGTTGGTGCATTTGGAAATAGGACTTTCAAGGGAGAAAAAATAGGATGCCAAAATTCCGGTTTGCCATTCAGACGAACCAAGATTCAGTTCTTACCACTTCCAAGTAAAAGAGCAGATAAACCATTAATGGGAAATTTTTGAAAGTCACTACCAAAGTAGACAAGACAAGGCCAAATCTTTTTAGAGCTAAAATTTGCATTGTTTGGAGATTATCTGGAACTGTAATGGGCATGATGAGAACACAAATTGTGCGAGAATCTACGTCTTGAGCTCTACGACTATACTAAGTTTAAGAAATGAAGTAACTGTGGGATTTTAAGTTTATAGCAAAGTTTCTGAATGATTTTATTTCAGAATTATGATGTCACCAATTTTCAGCTAAAAAACTGAGTGCTTCCAAAAAACAAAACAAAACAAAACAAAAAAGAACCAACCCCACACACGGGGGGTGGGGTGAGCACATATCAGAATGTAGGAACTCAAATTGCTGTCCCGTAGACAATTTTGACAAACAACCTAATGCTCCTTGTCCTTAAATTGTACAATAGAATTAAGTATAGTATAGGTTAGAGGAAGCTCAGAACAAATGATCTTTCTATAATAATTTGGTGCTTTCCCCATTCTCTTTATATTTCCTCCTGGCTAAGGCGAATGGGTGATAATATCATTTTTTGTTCCTCTATGGGACTTATTCAAGATAATAAAAGAGAATTTCCTATAGAAATGCTTTCAAAGGAGAAGAGGATTTGGGAGAAATGCTCATGAGTTAGGTGTGATTTTTTTTTTGGACTTCTTTTGTTATGAAGGTGGTTAGGGGTTATGTGGGAATGTCTCCAGGGCCCTGAAATTTCCAGGAGGTCTGCTTCACTTAAATCCCAAAGCAAATGATCATACAGCAACTTTTTCAAGTGAACTTTTTCACTATGCTCACTGCTGAAGAGGGGTTGAGAAATTAAGAAATGGAAGGATTTTTCATTCCCCTAAAATGTGTGATCAGTCATATGATTTATCTAGAGAACACTGAAAGGTATTTTTGTATTCCTTTTTCCTGTTGGCTAAAATAGACATCTATAAATACAAATCTGTTCCTTTTTCTTACATACTCACAGAAGAGAAAATTGCAAGAAACAGTGTCAACAAGCAATTGTAATCCTAACAAAATGGGAACATCTGCATTGTGTAGAGTTATAGTTTTTTATCGACTTTTCCTGACATTTGGACTTGTCTTCCTTTTGTGATAAATATAGTACATTTTAATGCTCCTAAGCCATGTAACTTAATTTCTGTTTTTTGCTACTTAGTCCCGCATTATGGGTTTTTAATTACACTTTCGAGTCTGTTCACGCCTGCTGTTTTATTATTCTTTGTTGTTATCCCTTTGCTTATTTTTAGCCCATTTCATTTGTTTCCATTTCGATGTATTTTATGCAAATGATTTAGAAATAACATTTTACACATTGTTTTTAAAATGTTTATGCAAGCTGTCATTGAAAAAAAAAGTGAAATATGGCATTAGAGATTAAAATAAGTAACAAAACATCACACACTGATGCTCTGAAACATTAAACCTATCTGATCTGTCTAAGGCTCCTAGGAACAGCTGTCTTGATATTTATAGAGAGGCAAACCCTTGGGCTCCAGGTATTCTGGAAATACAATTAAATACATCTGGGAGGGCACTGGATTAGTACAAAACAGACTTAAAGGTGTAAAACCTGTTTCTAACTATATTCCCATGAAATAATTATATGTCATTCAGCAGTAACTTTGACAAAAGATGCAGAATATAAATGTCATAAATAGCATTGCCATTTTTTTTAAAAAACCTCTGCTTAACAGGGAACAGAAATTGCATACCAATTGTTTGCCTGTTTTCCTAGCAGTACCATGCTTTTATTTTTTCAACCTTTTCTCTTTGGGGTTGCTATTATTATTATGGTTCATGGCACAGTCAGCCAGATATTCAGATTGGATTTGACATTTTTATCAACCTATCAAGTCCCTCCCAAGGATCTGGAATAGGCAGATGTTGATGGTTGATGCTGTTAAAGGTATCATCACAAGATGTAAGATGAGATTGTGAGTAAAGCTGCCTTTTGCAATTATGATGATGATGATGATGATGATGATGATGATGATGAT